TTGAGAAGGAATATCAGGATGAGGTTTATAAGAACTTAATAATTCCTTACAAATTCTATATTTTGCAATATAAATATTTTTTGTTTGGAGATCACAGGTTCTTTTTCACCTTTGTATATATTATATAGACAAATAATCTTTTTTTGAGTTTTTGTTGCAGATAATTTAATAAATATTTAATGACTCATTTTCAAAATATTTTAAGAGTTATAATATTAGATATTGGAAGGCATAGCAGACAAGAAGTCTTTAAATACAAAATTTTGTAATATATTTTATTATTTGCTATATTACTATAATTTTTTACAGTGATTAAGAATGGATACAAAAGATATCTTATAAAAAAATTAATAAATTCTCTTTTATGTCTTATATTTTTAACTACAAGTCAATAAATATTATTTAAAAATTTCCTTTAACAATATATTCTTAAAAGTTTCTTGTAACAAATTTCAAACTATTAGTACTATTAAAGAATAGAAATCTCAAAGAATAGTTGTTTACTACACATAAACCAGAACAAGAGTATTAGTAATTTAGTCTATCAAAAATAAACTAAAAAAGAAATAGTATTAAATTGCAATGCGACTTTCCAAGATAAGCATAAACTTATTGTACTATACAAGTTTAACTTAAATAAGTAATATAATGTATCATTATAATATATATAATAATTAAAGAGTACAATTTCAAGAGATCACTAGCAACATACCAATATTTATTCCTGTAATATTAGTAAAAAAGATTTAAAATTAGTTTTAAAATATAGCTGTAATAAATATAGTTAATATAATTACAGTACAGGTTTATTAAAAATAATACAGCATTTCAATCAATTAATAATAGGTGAAATCAATTAGCCTATATTATACTGATATTAATATAAAATATATAGACTGTATATCTAAAAAAGTATCTATTGTCTAATATAAATATTATATAGAACTCTAATTTATATAGCCTATTAATGATTTTAATTAAGATAAAAATTTTGGTATCCAAATATCTATATAAAATTACATTTAATACTTTAATTTCAAAACAATGCCAATATATATCTTTATATCTAAATAAATAAATATATATTTAAAAAAAAATAAATACATATCTAATAAATTATTATATATATAATATAAATACAGTATATATCGATAGCATAAGGTTATATAAATTTGTAAATTACTTAACCTAGCCTATTTTGAATCCTGATATCTGTAGCAGTATCAAGTCTAGAACAATACTGATACATATCTAAATAAATAAATATAGTGCCTATAAGGTTATGCTTCAATTTTTAAGTCTAGAATAATTCTAATACATGTCTAAGAAATTTTGCTTTGAAAATACATAGTAATTACTATGCCCCATAAGATCACCAACACTTCAGAATTTTAATTTATAACTTACTAGATATAATCTAGAGATTATGTCTAGTAAATTATAAATTTAAACCCAGAAGATTGTTTTGATGACATTACGTATTTTGTTTTGATGCATTATATATTTTTTTTTAATATCTATATAAGAGAAGGTCATGATACTCATATAATATGTTTTTTCTCTTCTTTACTTTTTCATGAAAGGTAATAAAAAAAAATAAACAAATAAATAAATAGTTCATATTATTTTTTCTTATAGATAAAAAAACTTATCTATTACTTTAAATATAGCAATAAAAAACTATTAACAATAAGCTATTCTAGCATTTTATCTTCTCTTTTGCTATCTCAAAGAAGTAAATCATCTGATAAAGGTAACAGAATACATATTGGGTATAAATTTGTAGTACATATACATATTCATGTTAAGTGTGACTCTATATTTTTTTTGTTGAGTAAATGGCTTTAAATAGCTTTGACTTTTTTTTTTGTTTTTTATTATAGATAAAATAAAAGTATTAAGAAATAAGATAAAAAATCTAGGAAGTAAATTCAATGAATTTATCAAAAATTCTAGAAAAAAGACCCAGAAACAAGATAGCAACAGCAGCAACAATAACAATAGCAATAACAACAGCAATAACAGCAGCAATGATAACAGCAATGATAGCAGCAATGATAGCAGAAGCAACAAAAGAAAAGGCAAAAAAACAAAAAGAGCTTTAAAAAGAAGTTGTAAGGAATTGTCATCTAAAACAAAAAAGTTATTAAGAGTATGTACAAATATCAGATTATTTTTGTTTCTCATTAGCAAATAAAGATATCAGGTGTTTTTATATATTTTGATTTATTGAATTTATCATCTATATATATATAAATATCAGGTATTTCATATATTTTTGATTTATTATTTTCTCATTTATATAGATATTAGTTGTTTCTATATATTTTTATTAATTTATTTTAATTTATTATAATAAAATAATATTATAATATCTATTAAAGAGCTTGATAAGCTGATACAACTAGACCCCAAAAAATTGTGAATAGATTTTAAACAAGAGTTTCTTCAAAACTCATTTAAAATTATCAAAAGAGATGTCTGAAGGTATCATGCTAGCAATATCCAAATATTAAAAATTATAAAGAAGCACTACTGGTACCAACAAGAAAAATGATTGATATAGCAGAATCTGGAAAAAGAAAAGCAGAAACATAGAAAAAATAAAGAACAACAAAGAATAACAGTAGTAAAAATTTTTTGTTTTCATTGTATTAATATATTAACTATATCACTATCAGTAAAATTTTAAATATAGTTTTAGAAAATCAAACAAAGAAAAAAGAGGTTCACCAACCTCCACCAAAGTAAAAGTGAACAACTAAAAAAACCTTCTTCTATATGATATTTCAGAGCATCAAGCTCTAAATAACGTAAAAAAAATTGTAGCCAAAAGTGGGTACCACAGTGATAAAATATTGGAAACAGATAATGAACTTGCTGATGATGAAAAAAAGAAAAGGATTCAACATTCTCTTGATAACAACCACAATAATCATGTAATGAAAGTTATAAAAAAAGGATAGCAGTCAAAAAAAGTAATTATTACAATAGATAATTTATATCTATATTGATACCAGTACTAATATGCCTTATATACTTTTTAGTTAAAGCAAATTTTGTTACTATGCGAAGATACTTTGCTAGCACAAAATTATAATAAGCTGAAATGGAATCGCTAGAAAACTGATATTGATGATAACTCAACATCACCAGTTAGAGCTTTTAGCTAGTATATTTTATGCAACTATATTCCAGCTGTTTCACTTGGTCCTGTTATAAATTTTCTTAGTGCTAGTGGTGACTCTGATAATTATTTAGAGTCTGGTGCTATTGTTCTTGATACATATTTTGTATCTGGTTCTGCCCTATCTAGTTCTGCTCCATCTAGTTCTGCTCCCGATATATATTCTGGGTTTGGGTCTAGATCTGGTGCTATTGCTTCTAATACTAATGCTGCCTCTAATACTAATCAATATGCTGCTCTCAATACTAATTGTTATTCTGCTCCTGATACTAACCACTATGCTGCTTCCAATGCTAATTGTTTTGATGCCCCCAAAAATAATCATTCTGCTGCCCCTAATACTAATTGTTCTGATACAAATAATCACTCTACTGCCCCTGTTATTAATATTAATGCTCCTGAAACAATTTGCAATAGAAGTTTTTCCAGTATTACTCTTAATATTATATCTTACAATTTTTAATATTTCTAATACAAATTATTTAAGATTTTTACTAATGTTTTATTCATATAATTTTTGAAGGGACTACTAATAGCAATAATGATAATGCCGATAGTAATCATGAATCTGGTAATGTATTTGATAGTTTTTATATGACTTGCTATATTTCTAATTAATTTGTTATATATTAATAATTATTTTAGAATTTAGAATTAAATAAAGTTTCTATAAATTATTCTGCCAATACTTCTAGATCTAAACTATATTATAGCAAGATTCAAGTCTAAAAGCTCTTAGAAATTCTAGGTATAGTATTAGAAAATAATTTTTTTTTAATTTATTTAATCTATATATTATGTATATATTTATTTAGTTACTAGTTATATATATATATAATATTTATAATAAAAATAATTAAACAAATAATAAAAATCAAAATGTAATTTTTAATTATATATTGGGAATAAATAAATATTTGTTTTTAATGTTATCTAGTAAAAACAGGATATTAAAATAATGCCTTTAGTTAACTAACACTTACCTTTATGTGTACCATTATTCACCTTTTATTTTGCCATATATGCAACAAAACAGAATAAAAGTAGATAGATATTGAAATCTTAATAGAAGCTCTTTAGTTAGCTAATATTTATCTTTGTATATACTATTATTTACCTTTTATGTAGCTATAGTTATCAATATTGGCAGAAAATAGATACATAATTTTAAATAATATATTGATATTAAGATAATAAAGGATACCCATTATTTAGCTAATGTTTATTTTCCATTCTTCTGATATTTATCTTTTATACTTTTATAGATCTGTCAAACATGTGTAGCAACTAGATATATAATCATTATACAAATGATCAATATTAGAAAATTAATAGATACCTTTTATTTATCTTGTATTTACCTTTTATATTATACTGGTATTTATCCTTCATGTTACTATAGATCTGTCAAACATGTATAGCAACTAGATATATAATTACTATACAAAGGATTGATATCAAGATATTAATAAATACCCTTTATTTATCTTTTATTTACCTTTTATGTTGTACCAGTATTCATCTTTTATATTACCATAGATCTGCCAAATAGCTGTAACAAACCAGATTAAAAGTGGATATATAAAGGATAGATATTAGGACATAAAAAGGTATCCTTTATTTAGCTAATATTTATTTTGAATATACTGATATTTATCTTTTATGTTTCTAGTATATGCAGCAAAACAGATATATAATTATTATATAAAAGATCGATATCAGGATATTAATAGATATTCTTTATTCATCTTATATTTTTTTTTATATTGTACTAGTATTCATCTTTTATATTACTATAGATCCACCAAATAACTGTAGCAAATCAGGTTAAAAGTGGATAAATAAAGAATAGATATCAGAATAATAAAAGGATCCTGGTATGTATTCTTTATGTATTTATTAAATCTGTGTAACTATATTAATTTTATTTAATCTACTAATATTAAATAGCTATTCAAAATACTATTACTACTACTAATTAATCTTATTAACTCATCTATTCTAACTATCTTTTATAATAGTAATACCACCTTATAGTTTATCCAAATTGCAATAATTAATTTATCATAAAATTAATTTACTTTTTATACAGATGGCTCTGTTAAACAACTTGTATTAACTAATACTCTATCAGTATTGGCTGGGTTCAAGTTCACAATAACCAAACCATACAAAACTTTTCTGCTCAAATTTCAAATTAGCTCTCTTTTTACAAAGCTAAACTACTAGCAATACTTTATGTTATTTCAACAATTCTACATAATTCTACATTACAAATCTTTACTAATTTGCAATTAGTTATATATAATAAACTTCAAACTCTATCTCTTTATTCTACCAAATATTTTAAATCAAACTTTTGGCCTATTTGATGTATACTTTTTAATATTTTAAAAGCTTTTAATATTTAACTTTCTCTTTACGAAGTTTAAGTTCATTCTGATAATACTTTTAACAATCTTACAGATTTATTTGCTAATAACTATTCTATCTTCTTTATGCTATTATTTAACTATACTAATCTTTACAATCTTTATTTTACTTTATTTTAGAAAGACAATTTTATTAAAAGTTCTACTTATTAATTTATTAGAAGAATATGCAATACACACAATATAGCTCTATGGTCTTTCTAATATGATACCCAGAAATAGTTACATTTTTTTTTGCCAAATTAACTAGAATGCTTCCTGGCTATACTTCAACAATAATTAAAAAATTTTTTATAACTTTACTAATCCTAAACTAAACTATCTAAAAATCTTTAATATTAAAATACTACTTAATATTTTCTCTATACATACATATTTTACAATATATATTCTTACTTATTTGTACTTTTCTTATAATATTTCATTTCTTCTTTTTACTAGTATACTTGCCCCAACAATACCTTTTTAATTTAAACTATTAACTTTAAAATACACAATACTTTATTTATCAACCTCTTTTTTTCTTAATTAAACAATCATATATATACTGTCTTCTATTCTGCTTTTAATTTTTTACTATTCTAACTCTATTTTTTCTCTTTTTACTTTATACTTAAAAGTCTTATATATCTAATTTAATCTTTAGATCTATTTGATATTTTATACTCTAACTCTTCTCAACTTATTATCTAACTATTTCTAAAAATTTCTAATTAACTTAATAACAATATCTGGACTCTATACTATATTATTATCTCTTGTTAAAAAAATTATATCAAATTTCTTCTACCTCTAACTACAATATAATATCTTAACCTTTTCTACTCTCAACTAATAAAAGAAACAATTTAACTATATCTATAGTTATTTCTACAATTCTGCTAATCAATTATATTTTGAATCTAATATTTGTTTTTTTTTAGAACAAGCTACTTTTAAATTTAATATTTGGTTTACTTTGTAGATCAAATATAATACACCTATAACTATATTTTAACAATTCAAATCTAGATAGGTCTTAACTACTTAGTAGGTTTAGGCTACAGATATTTAGTTTAAACTTTTAGTTTAAGCTTCTAGTCTAAGCTCTTATTCTTGTATATAATTTATATTTATTTATTTTTTTTTAATATTAGGTGAAGCTTGCTCTTATTTTTATTAAATTTAACAAAAACTTTTTATATAGTCAAGAAAAAGTTTAATTCTTTTAAATTTAAAACTAAGAAAAAAAAACTAATATATATCTAAGTAAATCTAAATACTTATTTGCATCCTAAATCCACTAGAGTAGCTAAAACTTATCTATATTTGGGGATAAGTAAGAATAAGAGAAGTGAGAAAAAGCCAAAGCAAGAAAAATTAGCTGTAGATATATAGAACAAATTTGTCTTTTACAAACTTTGGCATCCAATATTTATAAAAATATGAAGGGTGTGAAGAGAATTTAGTCTAGTTTATAATTTATATTTATTTGTTTTTATACAAATTAGTGTTTCTATAAATCTGAACTAAACTAAACTTTGGTCAAATTTAAATTTAGGTTTAGTTTAGTTATGTCAATATTGAATTTTTAAATCAAGTTTATATTTAGTTTAAGTTTAGTATTGTACTTTAAAATCAGGTTCACATTCAGTTTAGATTTAGTTCAAGGTTTATAAACATGTTTAGATTCAATAGTAGTTTAGTGATAAAATATATTAAAATTTTTTTTATTATTTTTAGAATTTTTAAATTTGAAGTTTTTTAAAGAAATCTTTTTTCTTTACTGATCTGGTTGGCTGAAAAAATTAGTCGTAGTTATCACTTGGATCAAAAAAAACCCCTGAAGCAGTGTCCAAATTAATGTGCGGAAGGGAGGGTGCATATTAAGAAAAAATTTCACTCTTTAAAGATTAACAATATGGGTTCTTTACACACATACGTTTAAAATTATGACGCAAGTGTATATTAAAATTTTTAAACTCGTATATGCTTTAAGCTTCAAAGTGCACCATATTTAATTAGTTAATTAATACTCCTCTATAATCATCCCTACATAATCACAAATTCAACATAAATTAACTTTAATTTTGAAAAACTTGTTAATAATTAACAAAAAATACTTCTGTATAGCACATCATAATAAATTATTATAATTACATACTTTTGCATAAAAACAAACTATATAAAGAAGTATAATTAATAATAAAATACTATAATAAAATAATTGTGTAATAATAAAGTTTTATGTACGTTTGTTCTGAGCTATTGTTTTACGTACATTTAAAAAAATTTTATGTCACTACAGTGTACTAAGCAGGAGATACTGAATTTATACGCTGTCTTGGAGCTTCAACCACCAATTTTTTTCATACACTCACGTTCATGTGGATATCCAATTCAAGATCTGAGGAGGTGGCAACACTGTTTAAGGAATTATGATGCAAATGTGCGTCAAATTAATATCATTATCTGTTATACGTACGTACATAATGCCACTAATACTTATACTAGCTATTAACATGTGCTTTCGCCCTAACACTAATATATATTTAAATTTTGATCAGATGAAGAATTGTAGTGGGTCTGCTTATGCAGGTAGTAAACCATGGAGTCATGCTATCATGCTTCACTAATTAATTGTTAATCGACTATGCATTAATTGCGCTGATATACTGTACGGTATGTGTGATATATGTTTATAAACAATTCCAATAAGTTTAATACGTATTTAGCAATCATAAATAGTGATGGGCATCATGCACCTTATCACTGCATGGTGCTTAGTCGATTATATACATTGATATCCGGTGATTATCATAATGTTAATAATGTAAGCAGTGCTGCTCACTCACCGACAATAATTTCACTAAAAGTTCACTTAGCCGATATCACATAGGGTTAGGTTATCTTTTATTAATTGCAGGTATAGGTATATTTTTAGTAAATTGTTACTTGGCGTGATGTCGGCTAAGTGAGGTGTCGGTGAAATGATTGTCGAAGTAAGGCGGATCCTAATGTAACAATTCGACATGCAATGATAAGCTCATGT